TCCAGACCTGAAGGGCAACTAGGGGCCATAGTCTCAGTGGTTACACCAGGCTCCACTGGACCAGCAAACCTGGTCCCCACCTTTTTTTTTTTTTTTTTACGTTTGGCATTTCTTAAGTTGAAAGAACTGAAGGAAAAATTCTAGCCTCAAGTTGCAATACTTAAAGATTCTATGGGCATTTTTACTTGGGTCCACTATCAACACCCATGGAAGCAACAATCAAGAAATCAGTCATTGTACTGCACTGGGCAAACATGCTGCAAAAGACCTCTTTAAAGTGCTAAAGAGCAAAGATGTCACTTTGAAGACTAAGGTGCGCCTAACCCAAACCATGGCATTTTCAACTGCCTCATATGCATGTGAAACTTGGATAATGAATAAGGAGGACTGAAGAAGAGTCGATGCCTTTGAATTGTGAAGAATAACTAAAAATACCATGGACTACCACAAGAACGAACAAATCTGTCCTAAAAGAAATGCAGCCTAAATGCTTCTTAGAAATTAGAATGGCCAGACTTTGTCTCACCTACTTTGGTCATGTTGTCAGAGGTACAGTCTCTGACAAGGATATCAGGCTTGGTAAAGTAGAGGGTCAGAGAATAAGGAGAAGACCTTCAATGAGATGGACTGGCACAGTGGCTACAATGATGGGCTCAAGCACAGCAAAGATTTTAAGAATGGTGTAAGATCAGGCAGTGTTTTATTCTGTTGTACAAAGTTACCACTATCAGTCAGAACCAATGACACCTAACAATACTGAACAATACAGGAAGCATCAAAGGAAGATGAAAGGAATACACACAGTCACTGTGGCAAAAGGAACTGCTTGATGTTCAACCATTTCAGGAGGTGGCATATGAACAAGAACCAATTGTATTGAAGGAAGAAGTCCAGGTTACATGGAAGGAACTGGCGAAAAACCAGGCTCTAGGAATTGACAGAATACCCACTGAGATGTCTGAACAAACAGATGCTTGTGCTGGAGGCATTTACTCATTTATGCCAAGAAATTTGCAAGACAGTTACCTGGCCAACTGGAAGAGAACCATA